AAGGATAACAACTAAATCCCCAAAATGATTAAACACTATTATTATAAGGCCAAAATACCCTAGTTACTCAGACCAAGTCTTTCCACGCCTCGATCATTGCCTTACCAATCTTAGGGTTTGGTTATTATATTCGTAGTGTTCTAGTTTGGATATTTTATTGTGTTAGTGTTATAGTGAGTGGCCCTATTTTCGGCCCAGTAACTATTCCGACGCAGCTCACATTATTTTCCCCTTTTACATTTGGTGGTGACTGTGAGATTGAACTTCCCTATACCACCCATTTATTAACCCTTATTACTACCTAAATTAATCTATTTTCATTATTAAAAACAAATCAAACTAATTGACAAAAAAAAAAAGCTTATCTTAAATCATAGAGGACTTATTGTTTAGAGACGAACAAATCGCTGAAGAAGACAGGTCCCAAGACCAAGATGATCAACCCGCTCAACAAACCCAGGCCGTGACCTTCTTAGAGAAATAGCACAAGCATTTAGAGAAGTCACCGTCCATAACGTACCCCAATTAACCGTGAAAATAATTGGGTTCACATTAAAACCTTTAAGGGAGAAGAGGATGAGGACCCGGTCAAATGGGTTGAGGCTTTCGAAAGAGCTGCCGACGCCAACAATTGGACCTTGGCAAGAAAAATCAAAATCACATCAGGCCACTTGATGGGAATTGCCGCTAGTTGGTATAATAACCATAAAGACGATTTCTTTCTCTGGGATGATGAAATCAACCCAGAGAATAGCTTCGTTCAAGCTTTCATCAAATATTTTGCAACCCCGAAATGTAAGCATCAATGGCAAGTGGAGCTAAATACATTAAAGCAGAAAGAAAATGAGAAGGTGGATCGGTACGCTTACCAATTTAAACGATTATTGAAAAAGGTGGACTCTGACCAATAGCTACCTGTGACTTACGTGGTAAGAATGTTCTTAGGGGGCCTTCGTGGTAAAACGGCCGCATTAATGTCTGTAGAAGACTTCGAAACGTTGGATGAAGCAATTGCGAAAGCCCGAAAGATTGAAGCTGGGACCTACTATAAAAATAAAGATAGTAAGAATGAGGCTACCAATAAGCTTATGGATGATCTAACCCAACAAATGCAACAAATGGTGGCAAACTGTAAGCGATTAACTACCGCCCTTGCTGCTAGAATCGAAAATCGTCCCGCCCAG